AATTATGATGTGCAGTTGATAGTTAGGGCTAGAAATTAGATTTATTATCATTATTAGCCTTACTCAATATTATATTTTTGGTACAATATGAAATTCTCAGCACAAGGTATTTCTGTTTCTCAATTTTTGGTCGATTCCTATAATAAATATTGAGTGGTTGACAGCCAGAAGTTCGCAGTCCAGGAATCGATATCTGAATAATCTACATTCTTTTAACTGGATATTGTCAGCAACCACGATATCTGTGATTGTGCTTTTTATGCAACGTGTTCAGCTAAAGGTTGTAAAATTTTCATAAACACACCTTAATAGATTGTGCGAATAATAAACATAATGATGTGTTAAAACAAGCAAAAACAGATAACGTGTTGAAATATCTAGAGGGAAGAAACAGGTAGCCCAGATGTTCAAGCAGGAACTGACATAAGATATAATGCCAAAACTCTACTCAGCTAAATGTATGGATGAATTTCGTGCCAAAATCCAAAACCTGCTATCTGGTTGGCTCGTCCATAAATTGTAGTCTCGCCGTCTTCTTTCTTCATTCTAGTTATTCAGTAAAATATCATTTTATTATCACAATTATTTTTCTATGTTCAAGATAATATCTTGGGCAAGTTTACTAAAAGAATGAGAAGTTTGACAAAATATTTTGTCCTGAAATCGAATGTTATAAAGATTAATTGGATTAAAATTTTAATTCCTAACAGAAACTATGCTACATTATATATATGCAAAGAACAATTATAATGTTTGAAGTCACATCTTCTTAGTAAATGTATGTAAAAGATGAATGCCGATTAGAAATGTTATCAATAATCTTCATATGTATACTACTGAAAACTATATCTGCTACTGTTTTGATTGCACAAAGAGCGATTTGAGTTCTGGGACTTATATTCAATTTTGTATTGTATATAGTTAATATACTGTTTTGAAACTAAATGAAATATGCCATTGAACAATCTGTTCAACATAGAGTATAGACAATTCATCTGAACATTTAATTTTTCACAAAAATGTGTTGAAGAATAACAAAATTCTATTATATTAAGTTTTAATATTTTCAACATTAAACAACGGAGTAATTTCAATAGTGAATTCAGTCATAATTATTTTTAATTGAAACCGTTTTATGAAGATACAGATAGAAATTTATCATAGTAGGTATAATGTGTTGTTAGTTATTATACAAATCATTTATAATATAATCTTTACAACAATCAGTTAGTGGAATGAATTTCAGTATGAAACGTTTGTATATCGATCGATTATATATGAAATGTAATTACTCCTTATGTAATCAAAACTATAGCTTTCTTATAAGATGAAAATATACTTACTGTTTAATTGCAGTATACCACAGTTGTATCATGTTGTAATACAGTCGCATACTGAAAAATTGGACTTAATGAAATGTTGGCGAAAATATTTATGAACTTAAATATCATCTGTTTTATTAAGTTTGACTACAAAGTTATTATTATTGAGAGTTTAATTGAATTGTAGTGTTTGCTACCTATGTCGACAAACATAAGCAATACATAACACAATTAAGAAGAGAAAGGCATGGTAACAGAGGTCTATGAAGGTCGACATGAAGAAAACTGAACGGGAAATAGAAAGGAATCGTGGATTGAAAGAACCATACAGAATGTAAAGAACAATTCATGGAAGGTTTGTTAATGAAGTATTTAATGTATGGTTCTCATAATTCAGCAAGATATTCTGTAATTTTGAATGAAAGTAAAATTAATTGTCCCCATCTGAGTTCGTTCACTGAAGAATTTGGAATATTTTTGAGTTGTAAGCAAAACTAATTATTTTGTAGTATAGAAAATAACCCTTTAAAAAGTTTTAAAATATAGAGAAACTGACGAATTAATTTGCGATCTCCGAAAGTTATATGAAAAAATGATAGTCGGTGTGATTATATATAATAATAGGTGTTTACGGGCGGTTTTATGCAATCAGAAATCCACTTACACTACAGGCTCAAATCAGTTGCCTCAGCTATTTAAAACTAAGAATCCACCGATAAATGTTTCACTTTAGTCCAAGTAGTCTCTTTAGCGTGCACGCACAGTCTCAAACAGAATTAAAATCTAGGTCTTATAGTCAGTTTTATTGCTAATACAGTGTCGTACAATAATGCTGTTCTGCACAATCAAACTTAATTCTGATTCTAGCACAACAAAAATATTAAGGAAAATGGCCCTGATTTGTAAGTCTAGACAGGGATCTCAAGTCAATAATTTTCGAAATTCTAAGTTCGGGGTTAGTTGTAAGGCGTTATTATTGATAATTCCTTTGTAGGCCATTGTTGAGTGAATAACTCTAAAAGATTTGCAACTCAGTGGCTGATGATGTGAGATCTCCAACGAAGGAACATTAAACCATGTGAAGCAGAATTACACAAGTTTTTCTTTCTCAGGGTAAAATTTCCATTTAGTGTATCAATGTTTCATTGGGCACACTAAGTTCTCAAGGCTCATTTGAGGGTAGCTCAAAGTCAGGACCACTAGTATGCAATTAAACATTAAATATAGCTAACTCATCAATTGTAACAACTCGGTTTTCATATCACATGATTATTTTTATGTCGGTTGTGACGCGCTCTATATTGAAGAGCAATCTTATGTGATCTTACGTTATGATATATAACGATCAAGCTGCGCAAAGATCCTTATTAATCATATCATACATTCAGTAATCGCTAAGTGGTTGTTATGGATCTGTTGACAATGAAAAATAAAGTTTTACATCATACTAAAAGACCAGTTATAGAAGCATTTCATGTAACATTGAATGTTAATATTGTTTAGTAAGGACAAATACAATACCGTCAACTTTCATAGTCTATCGGAAACGCCAATCTTAAAATACTTGTACAACTATGGTGTAAGTGATATTTTTACTCACACTCACCCAACATTAATTCTGGTTTGTGTGAAACCGATATCTCACATATTCTCTGTTAACAGGGATTACAGTAGCGCAGTTCTAGTGTTTTCAGTGTTTTCCGTTTATGTGATTTTCTCTGCACTAACTGAAATTCAAATGTGTGTAGATATGTTTACACGATCTTGCGGAATAGACTACAATGGCAGCATAAAGAAGACACTTTCTAACTGCATTTCCGAAAACAATATTGCATGTATTTCGAAAGAAGGATATAAAACAATCGATAGTTCAATAACGAAGTATCTAGTCAAGTCTGATTACACTACCTTATTAGACATATTCTTTAAAATCATTTGCGTGGTCAAACAATGACTTATCGACCTCAGACTCATTATTTAATCATAATTTATACTTGAACGCTACATTCTAAGTGACATGTGCAAGTTCTCATTCTAGTGTTTTTAATTTTTTAAAATTATTTATCATACTTACCTTCACTCTTTTAGTTTACTGTTTACATTTCACATATTTGTCAATGGAACCACTATCATATATTTGGTCTTTCCTTATTCTCTTTCTTTAAATTGTTGATCATTACGCAACCCTCTTTTGTTATTTGAAATTATGTACTCTTTATATTTTTAAGTAAACTACTTTATTTACTAATTCACTATAGACAAAAATGTACAGTTCGAATAAATGTTGCCATAAACGTTTTCATTTCTGAATTGTCTCTAAAACATGTAGTAATTTACAAAAATTAGTTATTACTCATTTTGTACTGTTTGCTTAAATCTTCCCATTAATGTTGAGAACTTAAGTTGATCACTTTCTTATTGGCATATATGCATCCTATGCGGTTTGCCTCAATATTGCTTTATATCACAAGCTTTATAAACAAAACTGAATGATGGCTAGCAGTGGAACTTGTCATCTGGATGTACTTGTGTCCTAGATTTGATATTCACTCCAGGATTATTGGTAGAAGCATTATAAAATATCAGGAAAACACATATTCATTTCTTTTGACTCATCTCAAATGTAAAATCAAACAAATAATCAATCAACAAATCTCATATCATTTCATTTTGTGAAGCAAAAAACTTTTTAATTAATAATTATTCAATTATGAATCTATAATTAACTATTTAACCACAAACTGATTATACATTTCTGTTTACTTTTACAAAAATATCATAGATCCGTGAAATCAAAATGCCCTAGGGAGTTAAGTTTAGTTTGAATCATTCATGGATGTTACTAAAATTATTTATAAATTACAAACTTAAATTTTAAAAAATGTAATTAATTTATATACTATGATAAAGTTATTTTCAATTAAATTGGATAATTTTATTAAATGAATTCAATGTTTACTACTATTTATCAATAAAGTATATAGATACTTACTTATTTATTCAATCCTCCCTTATCAACTGCTTATATTCTAACCAAATTTATATATATATATATATATATATATATATATATATATATACAAAAATAAAGATATTTGGTTATTAGTCAACTAAGATGATATGTGTATAAAATAGTGGGATAGATACACTTTCAGTGGGACAGACTCACACATGTGAGCATATTACAAATTTTTACTCCTTCTGTATATAATTGTTTGTACCTGTCTATTTATCTACCTACCTACCATCCTATTTAACAACCTATCATATATGCCAGCTTTATATATATATATATATATATATATATATATATATATATATATATAATGCCTGTTGGAAATCCTTGATCACACTAGAACAGTACTCAATTTAGGATCAAAAACTTTATAATTTTTTTTCTTGAAAAAAGAACAAGGTTTTAAGTCAAACAAATGGAAATAAAAATTCCTGGAAGATTTCACAATTGTATTTGTTATCAAATAATAGGATGTTTTAACTCTTGGAATATATATTTTATTTGAGAAATTATTATTATTGTTTTTTTAAAAACAAACATCCATGTTTATCAATTTAGTATTTCCAAGATGATACCACAATATTTCATAATGGAAATTGAAAAAAATGTTATTTTCTCCCATAAGCATAAGACTAACTGATAGTTCTATACATTTAATCTTCAATAAATGAACTACATTAAATAAACTATGTATTAGAAAATTGTACTCGTGGTATATATATGTACATTTTTGAAAACATTTGATAATGACATCAACCAGTGATTCTATAACTAATCAAGATATTAATAATCATCCTATAAATATACAAAATAAACAATCAGATATTGATCAAAGAATAAATCGTGATCCTAAATATGAAACAATTAATCAATTAGCTAAAGATACATTAAATATTGATTTGCCAGAATCACAAAATTCAACAAATCGTGCACTTTTTGTTTTTTCAAAAAATAATCTAATACGTAAAGCAGCACGAAGCATAATTGAATGGGGATATCCTTTTTCACTGATTATTAATAATAAGGAAGTTAGCATTAGTAATAATTGTGTTTTTTTTCTTTGATCAAAGTTAAATTTTTATTGTCGGTATATCATCATAGATTGTTAAGAATTTTGGAATTAATTTATTGTTTTATAAATAGCAACTATTTTATCATGGTAGAAATAAATCAATTTTCAGTAGTTTATATCACGGATTGAATTTTACTAACAAATCATTAAAAGCAAAGTAATACTCGACAGTTATTTTGTTCTATTATAGAATGCCTTAACAATGCACATCCACAACTGCACGAGATGTTTAGAACTTCTTCTGTACGTCTAACGAAGAGTGCTTAATGTTTAGATCGCAGAGTAACATCTTCTGACTGACATATCTAACTTGAAACAGTTAGTAATGTTTTCAAACTATCAGCTCTTGGTGTTAGTAGGTAATTACATTGCATTCAACATGGTTGATCTTTAATAGTCAAGGTGTTTTAGTTAAAATAAAAATAAACTTATGTCTTACAGTTATTCACTAATGAGATCATGATTATCTTTACTATGAAAATTTTGTAAAGATTATTGAACATTAGTTTTATACAAAAATGATCATAAATTTAGGTATGATATTTCAATGTTCAGTTTTTGTAATACAGTTTTCTATTTATATATCAACGTATTAGCATTAAAAAGAAAGTTTATTAAGTTACATATTACTGTTTGTGCAATTTAAATTTGTCGAAGTGTCAATTAGTTTTTAAATCCATTTTTCAGGGTATTATTTTATTAGATAGACATGAATCTTCTTAAACTATCATACATTAAACGACAGATATTTAAGTCATTTGGCTTTAAACATTTTACAATCAGTTTTAGTTTGCAATGAAATTTACCTTTAGTAGCTAATGTTTTGAATACGTAATTGTTCAATTTTATTGATATAAACTGTAAGGTTGATTGCAACAGTGCTATGGTAGTAATACCAGTCAAATGATTTATTTTGTTTTAAAGCGTCATATTTAATACATTTTCAATTCAATTCTGTTAGATAAATTACATACGATTGAAGCCTTGTTAGAAAAATGTTCTATTGAACGTTGTTTAACATTATAGATTGATTCCAACTAAATGTCAGGGGTGAATAAATAGATGTTTCATATTAGTACTCGACGTTTAAGAAATGATCCATCCATCACTGAACTCAGCTATGATGTAAGCTATCTGTAGCAATTAAACGATCTCTATAAACCTTTCATTCAAATAGAATATAAGTTTTATTAATAGTTGCAGAGTTAATAAATTCACAGTTCCGTTATACCACTATTATTTAATAAGTATTATTTTTTTTGTCTAAACAATTAGTTAGTATTGTTGTCATTTAATAGGTGATTTTATCAGAGTGATTTTCCAAGTAAGTTTCCAAACATTTTTTTGATGAGTTATGATGGTTTGATTTTTAATTTATTTTTAAATAGTTAAAATTATCACGTCATTGATAATTTTGACATAAATTTAGTCTTGGCTGGCATAGGTGCATCCTGTGCAGATTGCTTCAATATAGCCAACGGAATAATACGATCGATTTCAAATTGAGTTACAAATCATATTTCTTACACAAGTGAAGGCTACCTGGATTCATTAGCTGGTTAGATAACTCAGTGACGTTTGAAAACATCGGTTCTAGGTTAGAAACCCGGAGTGAATATAATTACTGTGACGAAGATACATTTAAGTAAACTCATGTCCTGAATTCCATCGTTAGTCACATTCTCATTCTTCTTTACTAAATTCACATTTTACTTCAATTAATTACATTCAGTGTGACATCTTTAATTCATTTGATACTTTTTATTTGTGTTATAATAAAGGAATCATTTTATTGTTTGTGCGGAAATCGATAAATCCATCATAACTAAATAGAACTTTAATTAGTACAATCTAAGTCAGAGAAATCAATGTTTTCCCACTTATTATTACTGTTATCGGTCGATAGTGGGAATGATGATGGTTGGGTAAAGTTTAAAATCAGTTGGTCAGTCATCATTTTATAAATAAATAATTATTAAGTTAAAAATATCATGGGAAAGGAATTAATTATTAGTTAAAGATACATCATATTTTCAAGAAAAATCTGTTTAAAGACGGTGTTTGGCATTCGATAAAAAAACGTTAGTTAAATTTTCGTTTAAACCATGACTTTTTATAAAAATTAATATTTAGCTTACAAATATATTATAAGCCATTTGGTATATGCAAATATAACAAGTTGTTTATTGAACAAAATGTAAACTAAATTGGTATTTTAAGAGAATGGTACTGGATTCGAGTCCCAGAGTGAACATCGACTGTGAGATGCTGGTGCATCCAGCTGAACAGGACGAAACGCGCGTCCTGGATTCCACTGCTAGTCATTATCCATCTTTGCTTATAAATGAATCAATTTGTAAGTTTTTATCAGTATGAAGGTAAAGCTTCATTCATAACCATGTGATTAACACTGACCAACTGGTAGACAGAAGTCTACCAGGAAAGCTTTGATTTATGGGTTTTATTCATTGACGGAATTACATGACAAATATTATTCATTCATTGAGGCTAAAAAGATACACTATTAACTTTCAATTCAATGACTTCAATGTACATAACTCATAGGATTTTGTGTCAATTATTTCTCATAGACTCGTCATGTGCGAAAGTTTTAAATTAAAATAATTAACCATCCAACACTACAGTAATTTCCTGAAGATATCTGGATTAGACTTTTTTAATACAGTCACCTTAGTAAACTAATTAATTTGTGTTTCCCATAAAACTGTATTATTGACAAATTAAATAGTAATGGTATATAAAATAAGTTCTTTTGTTTAATATGACGAAATGTATTAAAATGTATCTAAAATGTTGATCAATATATTCAATGTTGAATCTTTATAAATTCATATACAACTTGAATACTTTGATGCATTCGAAAAATATACACGAAAATTGATTAGTAAGGTCACATTATTGTTAAACAGATTTAATAAATACTTGAATATGATAATAAAACAAAAACTGGGTTTATTTTCCCGGCTAAATATTTTTGCTTTCACTAATCAATCAATTTGTTACTATATTAATACAAAATAAATTAGGTCACTTGTTAAGTATATTTATTTATATATCGTAGTGATGGTGATGTTGTCACGATCTTTACTGTTTCACATGCAAATATACATACAATGATGAAGAAAGAGCTTAGTCTAATATTGAGTTCGATTAAAATAATATTGAATGATGAAATATTGAATTTTTTGGATCAATTTTTTTATTGCGAATTTGTTTTGATAAAAACTAATTTTGTTCACTGAAATAGAAAAAATCATTTTTGTATTTTGTAAAAATATTGTTACTAGTTTGAATGAAAATGAAAGCTAACACGATTGAGACTTATTAGATTCACATTCAGTAATTCGATTGTATTTATATGACAATATGAAGTCAGGGATTTAAATAGTTGATATGAGGAATGATAATTATGAATATTGTAAAAATGTTTGTCAACATTAACATTAAGGGATCCATAAGTATATGAAATGAATAATTTTATTGGTATAAAACATATTTTCAAGGTGAAACTATAATAAATGATTTAAAGTATATAGTAAGACCAAAGTAAACAATTATGTTGATTAGATTAATTAATTTACTCATGAATAAAATCTCATTATAATGAATGCTCTAAATCATCCAGTTAACAAAGCACCTTATCAAATAAAATCATACAATGTACATTATTGAGAACATGATGATTTAGTCAATAAAATCACTCAATTCTAAACTATTCTCAATATGAAACACATTATACAAATATCATTGAAATATCATCAGTCTAATGTTATGATTGTAAGAACACGAATATTTGAATTTGTGATGATTAATTCATTGAATGATTATCTTCCACATGTTCAACTATCTGTGTCTGTTGCACAAAGTCAACTCCATCAACCTTCACAATTTCCAACAACATTCACAACTATTCGATTTGTTCTTGTTTCCTTAAGACGAACGATGAGTAGATAGTCGAATTAGGTGTGTGTGTGTGTGTGATTGTTTACTCGTTGACACTTTTCGTAAGATACTATCTTTGCTATTATGGGTTACTGCAACATGTATTCAAAGCATTTTGTTATAGATCCGTTCATTGTATTGTCATGATTGATGGAGTATGAGATTGATTTCACAATATTCTACTGACGATTCATGATATGTTTGATCAAGTGAGTGATAACCCAGTTAATCAGTAGTGAGATAGAATGTAGATTGCATTACTTGTATTGCGAAATATTAATTCTTATCCAATGTTAAAACAATATATTGTTTCAATATTTGAGATCATGGGTCAACCGAAGCTAGGCTACCATGGAAAACCTGGAAGCCGTTTCGTTCTATTGTGAAACTCCTCAGAAGCGTATTGTATTTTGTAAATGTTCATAATTTATTATTTGATGAGATGTACTATTTTACGGTACTGGAAAGTTCAAAGTAAGTCAAGAATTTCATCTAATCATAGTGCAAAAACGTCGAAATGCTAATTAAGTGTTTTTCAAAAAGATTTATCATGGTTTTTGCATAGATATTTTTAGACCACATTTTGTATCACGGAATAATCGTGATCAGACAACAGTTGAAAACTAGAAAGTATTGAGTAGTTTTCTTATTCAATTAGGCAGTTCTTCAAACGGATTCTTCATGATCGAACTGCGGGTTGAACTTCGTATTTTTAAGCTTTACCAAGAGTCCCTAAACTTTAAAAATCTGAGTTAGTTTTCAAATAACAAAATGAACCATTGGTGTTTTTGGAGAATAACAAAAGAAATTCATTAAAACGTTTTTTCCTCTTCAATGATTTCATTCATTCAAGATGTACAGCCATATTTGTTTGCTGATAATAGTAATCTGTGATGAAACAGAAAAGTGTTGAATCTGATTTGTCTTTTTTCTTCATAAAATTTAAAATCCACTTGTTAAGATTTATTAATTTATATCCCCACATAGTAAAATGTTACTATATGCCTAACAAAGGATAACTTCAAGAGATAATTCTTGGAATTTTAATTAGAAACAGTGGTCGGTGGAAATTGACTCAATTGATTGTAAGGCAGTTTCTCACTGGTACTGTTTGTTGATAGTTTAGAAATATTTAAAATTGTTTCAACTTTGTAAACGATTGTATAACAACTTGGTGGTTGAAACATTAAGTACTCACTGTGAGACGTAAAGCTGAAGGTTTAGGTCCTTTTTAAATTTGTGGATAAATACTGTTAAGGC